TCAGGTCATTCAGGAGTTCCACAATGCTAAGCAAATCTTTTGATAAATATGGTTTGCGTTACTACTTTGTAACAAAACTCCACACCAGGTGACTTTTGTGTGGTCTGGTGTTTGATTGTGAACATTTTGCACTGCTCTAATGAAACGATTTCTAGGACAACTAAAGGATGAAAAATTTTCAGTTCAGCGATTTAACCACAGGTTCCGTGATACACACACAAACTGTGACCACAGCATTAAGCTCCTGATGTCTAAAATTTGAAACATAATTCTCTGTTAAAACACCTAAATAACACTGGTGCAATCTTCTAGTGATTGTGTGCAGTGAAGTGCAGCTCTCATTATCGGTATAAGTGCAAGCCAAAACACTTAGCCTTAAGACTTATTATAGGCTAACGTTTCATCAGAGGTTGTAAAGGAATTGAAAGGTTTTTCAGACGTATTGACACATAAAAATACCTGAAAGTACAGATGGTCACCTGAGGCTGTATCCAGTGAAGGCACTGGACTCTTTAGACTGGGACAGGAAAGGCCCTGTGCATGGAGTTCATGTAGTGATGGCTGAGAAGGAACTTACTGACAGGAGCCTTTTCATTCTCTCTGGAATTTTCGTGGTAGTCACAACTCTGAGCATGGAGCATGAAGCATGTAGAATACAAAATTGTTAACCTAGACAAAAGTATTTGCATGCATTCATTATTTGTAGAGGAGGCTGCTACCTTGCCTTTTGCATGCAGAAAATACATATACCACACATACAATAGGCCATATAACTCCAAGAAGCTTTGAACTTTTTGCATTTGCCTTAAAGAATGTGATTTGTAGATTCAATATGTATAAACAAAATGCATGCCTGGGATTTCTGGATTGCTCCAGGCAAAGTTTACTTGTAGAAAAGTTGATATATTCAGAAAAACTGTGACAAAAGGCAGCCTTATGCTAGTAAGAATTGCAACAGTGCTTAAAGATCTTTTCACTACACTTAACAGAAATGCACAAAAACAAGACAAGGGCAAGTACTCCCATGCAGATGAGACCACAACACAGTGGGCCACAACATATCCCTTCACATGGGGTGAATATAGTATGCGACTCTAAGCTCTAGTCTTCTTGAAGGCCTACCATGCTAAGCCTTTGAGAAAAAAAAATGACAAGAGGAATGTACTATTTGAAGTTTCTAACTCAGTCTTGGAGAAAGTTGAGTACCCACCTCCTCAGAGTTAGACAGGCACAGCTATACAGACAACCAAAAGTGTAACCACAATTCAAAATTAAAGCTTACAGTGAGAGGACATCTGAATTCAGGCAGATCTAGCATTATATGGCACTAGGGTACTGTCTTCAGGTTTCATGCAACTCTGTTCCATACAACAAATTTCCTAATCTTTTACTGAATTTAGCCTATGACATATGCAGATTTAAGAACTACTAAAACATCTGCAGCTTCAGCAGGTAATTTTCACACGACCCTGTTTTTGTCACTGTGCCTCTCACAAAACGCTGCCATCTCATCGTGGCTGAGCTGCACAGTATCTGTTTGTACCTACATCTCACTGAGCCACTTCAGCTTAGCATCGCCCTCTAAAACATAGTTTGGCACAAGACTGAACTCCTCATAAGTCGCAGAGCCAAGACCATCACAAACTCATATTGTGAGACAAAATGTCCTGGGTTTATACTATGTCCCAGAAGCACAGGACACCTTACCTAATCTGCAAGCCTCAAACATAGGCATTCTATCTTTTAGCAAAGTGATCAGCTACAGAAATTTTGTGTATTCATCTCTCTTCATTTAAGGATGTATCAAACACCATCTGATGACAGCAGCTAATGAAATAACAGCAGGAGAACAAAGAGCTGCATTACTCCCTAGCTACTGGTAAAGGTATATGTCTAGGAAATGGGAAACCAAAGAAATGAATCCATGGACTCTTGCTGCATGCTCTCCAACGCCTTTCAAATAACTGCCACATAGCTCCTTTACTGTGATTTTCAAATGTGCTCTCTGCATCTTTGAGCATCTTCTCCTTACCACCTGATTCCCATCACATTCTGGTGATCAATAATTTTAAATGTGAGCAGTAGCTTTCTGGTTTGTACAATGACTAGTTCAATGTTATTACAGTACTGTGACAATCTCCAACAGTGATCTGACCACTAAATCAAGCTGTAAATTAGACAGACTGGATTAACATTTTTCTATTGAGAAATAGCATGTTTCTTTAGTCAGTATAAGGGCTTACTGCTGGCGTGATTCTTCAGGCAGGAAGACAAGAATTTATTTTACTGAACGATAGTACAAATGCTTGAAAAATACACTGTAATAGGTCACTCATTTCCCTTGGAAACATCTACTGCTCTTTGGACTTCAGCCACATTGGTACTTGACTCTAACTTTCACTGTCTTTCACAGATGAATGTGATGCAGGAATTGGGAGACAAGAAGATAAAAACAGATAAGCTTTCCTCGTTGAAATTTAAAAATATGAGCGAATGGAGAGAACGTTTCCTTGGGAAAATTAATCCTGTTATTGCTAGCACCAAAACAAACATTCTGTTGTCTAATCTAAAATGCTTTCTTGGGTCAAAACTACTTAATGAAAACTGTTTCCAAAGGCATTCTATTTTTGGGTCCTCAGTGTGCCCATTTACAGAGCAGCAGGGCCCTAGAATTTTTTGCATAGTAGAGTGTTTAATTTTACTTAGGCTACCATCCCTTCCCAGTCCCATAAAAAGGTTTACATACAATAGATCACAGAGACTATAAACTAAGGACAAAGACTTACACAATGCTGCTGAGGTAATCCTTTGTGCTCTGCACATACCGGTGCTGTATAATATTTGAGGAAAAGCACTATAAACTATTTCAGACATCTGTTTTTAAGGTTGCAGAACATTACAATGTAAAAAACAGACACTACAAGGACTCACATTTCCACCGACTTCAAATGATTCTGGATATTCAGCAGAAAGCACCAAACTGAATAACTGCTCTCCCAACTGACAACGATAGCATGATGTTAAATGAGACAGATACTCATGCTGCCACTGTGTTGTACTGTCATGGTTTCTTTGCTCTCCATATGATGAAATAGGTGTTAAGCAGAGTTTGACAACTGTGCATTTGCCTTATCATATTTGCTGTTAATTCCATTATTAGGTATTATATCAGATTTCAGTGTCCCATTTCAAAGAGCACAGCATCTGCTTACTAAAAGTTTCACTGTTGTCTCTATTCAACAGACAGCAAAAATTTTAAATAAAACTGCTTATTACATCTATAGTTCTGCGCTTCCTTCTAATACACAAAATACAAAACCAATTCAGGCATCATGTCATAATGAAGCTGAAACAAAGCAGCTTTTTGGGCAGCTGCTCAACATTCCTCCTTCTGCCTTGTTTTCTTTTTTGTAAATGAAAGGAAACAAAGGTTCCTGTTTGTTCTGTAAACCTCTGCCCATAGCACAGCATCCTCCATAGCAAGCCAAAAGCACAGCAGCTGTCAGAGACATAGCTGGGCTTAGGTGAAAGCAAATACTTCACTAAGTACATTGATCCTTTCAGGGCAGTAAAAGAAAGATATATGTTATATCACTTCCATAACTTTTAAGAATCACTCAGATTTTCTGTCATCTGAAGAAGGAAGTTTAAAACAACTTTCTTAAAGTCCAGGTCTTCAGATTCTAGGGAGCACAAAAAGGTAAGGATGGCTTCCTTATTTTTGACTAAAAGATGCTCAATTCTCCCTTAACAAGTAGGAGAATTCTAAGCCTCTAGCTCCAACACACTTTCACAGTTTTTGTTTGGTTTTTTTTTGTCTGCTTCAGCTTACTACTTTTATATATATATATATATATATATATATATATATATATATATATATTCTTGATCCTCATTTTGATCAATCATCATGACAGACACTGCTGCAATGGACTCCAGAATTTTGTGAAGACACTCTGCCACCTACAAAGGAACCTTAGTCTTTAGCTTCTTTGCAGTAAATTGTTCAACAGTGGGCTTACTGCCAGAGCTCTGCATATTGGTCTTACAGCACTCCAGATCCCAGTATGAGTACATCTGGGAGGTTGCTGTTGTTAGCTTGTTTTGAGTTTTTCTTAAAGGCTCCTAAACTATACTCTTGAAAGAGTGCCTGGCTTGTGTTTTCTATACTTAGAGGAACTATATAGAGGGGAAAAAAAAAAAAAGAAAAAAAAAAAAGCCAACACATAAAAACCTAGAAAAATAAAGCAGTAACCACTGTATATACCTAATCAAATGAAAAACATGTTGTATTTTCCTTCTTTTTAGTTATCAGTGAAAACCTGCCAGATTTATGCTTGTACTATAAGATACCAGCCAACAGCTGTTAGCAAGCTAGACTGTTGGTAGCTAAGGTCCTACATATTGTATTTCTTCATGCGAGGACAACGTTTAATTATAGCCTAGGTAATAATGCTAAAAATATTTGCTTGATGCACCCTTTCTCTGAAGCAGGTAAGCAAAAATCCAATGTCTAGAACAAGCATAGACGGTGGCAATTACCCAGATAATTTTAGAGTAAGAATGTACATCATAGGTTCTTCTAAGATCTTGTCTTCTGGACCATTTTGTGACTCAAGACTTCATAAAAGATTTGCCTATGAGTTTGCTCCAATAGTATACCTAACAAAATCCACATTCCATGATGATATTACAGCAGTACAGGGATAGATCTGGCTGCTCTCTTGTCCCTCATACTTCCTCCCATTTCACGTACTCTCCTGGTGAAGCAGGATCTTAGAGACACTGATGGTATATAATTTTTTTTCAAGCAAACTTATCACTAGTGCAACCTTTTTTAATGAAAGTGTGAGAATAACTCAATTCAACACAGTGCTAGCCTGAAAAGGATTCAATGTCTTTATGACCAATTATGGTCAAAGAAGTTTTTGTTTTGATAATAGTGTGTTTGACGATATCTGTCCACAGAAGGAGGATGTAATGTTTCCTACTTGACATAGCTTCTGTATTGTGCCTTGTTTTCCTGTGTTCTCATTTTTCCAGGTTCTATTTGCTTCTCAGTTTTTTCTTGGGTGACATCCCATTTTTGGTTCATTGTTTTTTATCCTTATAATAGCAGACCATGTACAATAAGCATCAGGAAAAAAAAAAAAAAAAAGAAGAAGAAAAAAGTGTATGGATGTTCTTTATGTCTCCTGTGCTAAAGAACACATAAATAAATTTACAGATTGGACAGCATTTGAATAAAGTCAAAAGTACCCTTTTAAATATCCAACTTCAAACAAACAAACAAACAAACAAAAACATTAAAGGAACCTTAAATGCTTAGCGCCAGGGCTTATCTTGCTTAGTAAATCTAATTTTCTTCATGGTTCATTATGGATAGGATATTCAAATCTAAGATTTTCTTTGTTGTCTATTCTAGGTTTTTTATTTTCATATAAGCTTTATCTACACAAAGCAGAGACAAGAAAAAAAAGCACTCACCTACGTATTCTTCAGGAGAAGGAAAGTCAAATACATTCAATTCCTGACAACTGAAGCTACTTCTGCTTTGTCCGAGAAGATGCACAGGTGCTACAGGTTCAGTTTAACTGTTGAAATGATCATTACCACCTGGAAGAATTTAGCTACTTAGAGTGGCATAGCAAGAAGTGTGTTTGGGCCCAGCAGCCAAACTGCGTGTAACTATCAAAGCACCTCACTGCGGTTCTGTCTCTGCTGGTACACAAAACACACTCTGCTTGCTGACAAAAATGAGAAGACAGCATAGAAATTAAGCCAACGTGCCCTACAGAGAAATCGGTAATTAGTATGGGCTCAGCAGAGCTAATAGAAAAAAGTGGCTTTTGGAGGAGAACTGAAAGGCTCCTCTTGAAGTCCATACTCAGTGATCTTAAAACTTCCTGCAACACGTAGCACAGTTGCCTGCAGCTGAGGAAAGGCAAACTCTTCTACATGCACAGGAGTAGGGGAGTGCAGTAAATGCAACGTAAACAGCTTGTCTGCTGTCACAGACAATTCAGCAGTGGAAGAAAATCAACATGGTTTAGGATGCCTTTCAAAATTAATGTGTGTCTTTCCTTTGGAAGAGTTTGATTTCTCTTCACTTTACAAGTTCCTTAAAACAGGTGATTTTTTACTGCTGTGGAAGTGGTAAAGCAGAGAAAGCCTCTATTCATGCAGAGAAAATGGCTACACAGCCATGAGAATGCAGCCACGCAATGGGTCAGTTGTGCTGGAACTGCCATCAGAGTTTATGTACATATATCTATCTAAAAAGTCAATGTAATTAAACATGTGTCTGATCACAGTACAGTGCAGACTTGAATCAGCAGGTACACTCATCTTTAGATAGCTGAAATCATAGATGATAACACTTGAAGGTAAATTTGGACATCTCAGCAAAGAATGATTTTTGAGCCATTAAATGTGGGTATATTCCTGTAACAGTAATTGTTCTGCATGGTGCAGACTCATAGGGATAGGAACTGGTAGTTCACAGCTCTGATTTCTGTCTGAGAGCACGAATAAGTCAAGCAACACTGTAGTGATGCTTTTTGGTGCTCACACACCAATTCTCACCATTGCCTCAGCACCCTTCCTTCCCTTTCCTCTCAACATGGCCAGCTTTGCATTGGCACACTCTCCCTGTTGAACCACTGGCATCCTCTTCCAGACGTTTCCATCACAACAGTCACATCTGACACACCTGGGTAGGACTGGTAGCACATGAGACTCAGGCATGTTTGTACCCATGTGGCATCCTCTTCTGACTGCTTTTATTGAACACTTCTATATAAAGAACATACTTGTAGAGATCAAGTTTCATATCTGAATAATTACATATATGAAAATGAACTGAGTAATTGAATTCCAGTGAATAATTCAAGCAGCTGTAATATTTGAATCTATAATCTGCCAGAGTGTTATACGATCTTATTTCCAGTTGATTCCTGAAAGGAAGTGCCTTACAAGCACTGGTACATAAAGTTGTCTCTAAACACAGACACCATCCATCGTAAATGTTTAATGTCCAATCATGAATTACAGCACCTGTTTTAAGTGATCAGCTACTAAAGGATATATAAAAAAAAAAAGAGGACGGAAATAGGGGTTTCTTTCAAGGAAGATTATTTCCTGCTGTTGAATTTCTACATCTTAATAAAGTGCCATATTCAGTCTTTGTTCTTGCAACATCTACTGTGCTTATAACTGAAAACTGAAACAAAGATCCTAGCATGGAATTTCAGTTACAACACCAAATATGCCAACTTAATTTTGCATGCACAGTGATTTAAATCCTTTGTTATCTGTGTAAACGTGATATGCTACAAAGCAGGGCCCACAAAAATTTGTTCGCTTCCTCAGTAATTTTTGCATCACGTTGTCTACTATTCCAATAGGTTTGTTTCTTTTCTTTAATATACCTGATAATTTGTAAAATGTCATTTTTATTTCAAGTGTTCATATTCACCTGCAAAAAATAGTCTGTAGAGCCTCTAAAAAATTTCTTCTAATGAGGATGGTATCTTAAGAGTTAAGTGGCATGCAGAGAGTAATAAAGGATCAGCAATAAATGCTATAAGGCAGTGCCTTACTAATAATAAAAATAAAAAACAAACAACAAAAGAAATAAAAAATGATGAGATACAATAGAGAATAAAAGGAGAAAGGTGTGGAGAAGATGAGAAGCTCACAGACTGTTTTGTAACAATTTGCATGCAGAAAATAGAGAAAAATACACAGTGGATCAGTTTCTCAGGGTGTTTGGTCCAAGTGTCATTGGCAGGAGTAAAGGGGCAGACTTTAGAAACATGAAGCAAGGAGAAAGACATAAAAAAAACCTGAGTGAGGGGAAGGACTTTGTGCCACTTTTTCCTTTTGGCCTTTATGCTCTACACACATTTTCCTTACCCTTACTCATACTTGTATGTCTGGGGGAAATGTTGGGATTGGGAAGCGATCCATGAGAATGAAGCAGCTTGAAAAGCATTATATTAGTCTGTGGAATAAGTAATACTTCAACCAAGTGAAGTAATGGAAACCGCTTCACCCAAGTCATTTAAAATTGGACTGAATAAGGCACTGGAGATTATGCTGAAGGGAACAATTCTACATTGGCAGGAATATGGACAAGATGACTTAATAGATCTAGTGTCCACATGCCAAATCCTGAGATCCGGATCCAGTTTTTATTACTCTATCATTACAAAAGTTGAACTTCCATTCACATTATTGGGAACTCAACCTGACACGAGAAAAAATAACCAGAAGCTTCAGGATTTATGCATAAGAACATGAATAAAAGTATTTTCCATATAATTTAAAAATTTAACTTTCTATGTAAAAATTATAAATTTCCAGTGCAGAAGATCTGGATTTAAATGGAGTTCTCCAAATTGTTCCAAACACCCTTCCCAGGAAACTTGCAGAGTTTATAGAATTTAATTTGTCAAAGTTTAACAGAATGTTTGATCAGTGTGAACACTTCTTTTCACTTAAAGTAAGTTTTTGTGTGCATTATTCGTTCCTGAAATGGGTGAATATATCTGTGATTAAAATATTGTGATGAAAATTAAAGTTTACTTTGCTAGGTAATGGAATGATATGGGAACAGTAGTAGAAGTTGTCATTAAAAAGTGGGGAATATAGATATAATCAGCAGGATTTTCCTTTTTTGTGTGTGTGTGTGTGTGTACTGACATGACTTCATTGAATACTGGTGGGGCATTTCAATGTAAATGGTAAGTTTATGCTAAATGGAGTCTGTTTTCCTTAGTGCAGAAACGTGCATGGAAGAATCAAGATTGTTCAGAGATTGTGCTGAATTCCAATTCGTTTTAACTTTGAAGCAAAACCTTACTAATTAAACCAAAATAATTCCAGAAATGCTATTAATATTTTTAAAATAAACTGAGACTGGAAAGTGCTCAGTGGATAGAGATCTATATGTCCCTGTATGTACAGGAGTTGAATGCAGTTAAATGGTTCCAATTTTCACTTTGCTGCCATTCACACCAATAACTGTTGCCAACTAAGACTGTTCCTGACACAGAAAATGTTAACTAGTGTCCCATGGCTCACTGTGTAATGATGATAGAAAAAAAAAAAAAAAGCCACGTTGAGTATATTGGGAAAAAAATGTTCATAAAGATAATCTAGATAATTATTTTGTGATACCCAGAGAGGAAACACATTTGTTCTATTGAAGTTAAAACTTCCTAATATGAGCAACAAGATTGAGAGCTATAGGACAGTGGAATTACTTCCTGTCTAATAAGAAAGCCATGCTAAGAGTTAGTTGGCATCTTACAAAAGATTTTTACATGATACAGAACATTTTCAGAGAAAACTTCCTACATTTGACCTTTTATTCATTCTTATTTGTGCATCTGAGCTCTAGTCTTCATAAGAAAGGGAAGAGATTATTTTAAAATCTTTCTGGAGTTGGGTTGTTTCTCAACCCTATAAGGTATGAAAAGTTGCACGCTTCCAACATGAGTGCAAATCTTCTCTGGTTAATTCTTTTTCTCAGTTTTGGGTTTGTCTGTTTTTTTGTTTTTTTTGTTTTTTTTTTTCCCTAGATCCATAAAAGAAACCTAACATATCATCTTTTAAAATATCAGTAAATTGAAAAGAAACTCATTAATGAGCACATCCAGCTATGGAAGAAAAAATGATGGTGATGAATTAACCTTGCAAGGATTTGCAGACAGATCTCAACTCCTGCCCTGTCCTTCTCTAGACGGAAAGGCTTAGCCAGCATTTCCAAGGCTAAATGAAAACAGACAGGCCTGTCAAGTCAGAGCAGTCAATGGGACTTGGGCATTGACTCTTCTTTTGCATGTTCCTGAAAGGCCACATTTCACAGCACAGTTCAGTGTTTTTCCCTCCATGGCCCCTTGCACCCACCTGGCAGGGGAACAGCATTATAGTCATGGTGTATAAAGAGAAAGGGGAAATAGCCCCTGCCCTGTTCCAAGCCAGGAGAAGACAATCCCCAGCTAGTTTAGTCTCAGCTGCACCTGCCCACAGGGGATACAGCTTCCTCCTTTCACAAACTACTTATCAAGATCGTCAGGCACACTGCAAAACTGCCTTGTCCAAGACTGAAAGGTATTGAAGGAGCTGAAGAGACAACACAGGTGGTTTGGCACTACTGGTCTAACAGATCAATTATTAGGCAGCTAGCATCAGCTGTGCAATTTTAAAGTACCACAGGTGCCATTTTAAACTGCACCACCTACCTAAGCATCTTTGGTGCATCATGGGGACTGGGAGGACAAAAGACATTCAGAGATAGATGTTAATACTATATTATTGCATTAGCACTTCACCAAGACAAAAGCATGCATCGTATCTCTCCATGTGCTCTTGAAGTATGAAAATGGTGTGAAATAAGTATAAAATTGCTGGCTAGAGAGCTTATGGTCTATGCAGTGACCAGAAATGCTGCAGTCCTGCCCAGCTTCAGCTATACCCTACAGTTGCACCTGTATGGGCCAATTGCTTGGCCCATCATTATTTTTAAAGAAAAAAAAAAAAA